CCCAGCTAATTTTTATATTCTAGTAGAGATGGGGTTTCACTATGTTGGCCAGGATGGACTCAGTGTCCTGACTTCATGATCTGCCCGCCTTGGCCTCCCAAAGTGCTGGGATTACAGGCATGAGCCACCCCGCCAGGCCAACACTGGTCCCCTTGAAGGAAAAATGGGCAGCTGACTAATCCTTGCCAAGCTCTGGCCTGGATGAAAAATTGAATCATTCCTTTCCCTCTTCCTCCCTAACCTGTTCTTTCTTTCCACTAGAATCCTTGCCCAGAGTCCAGCACCTCCTTCCTGTCCAGGATCACCTTCTGGTGGATCACAGGGTAAGGCTGGGTACTGGAGACCTCAGGGAGGTGGTGGGGAATGAATGAATGAACATGCTGAGCTCCCCGCTTGACTTCTCTCTCCTTCATTCTTCTGCATAGTTGTCTTGAATCTGCCTGTGCTGGCCCTGTAGTCTAAGAGACACCAACCCTGTCCCTCAAATCCATCACCTTGAATGTGATATACGCATGAGCCATGAACAGCTTAAATATCTGCAGGAGGCTTGGCCTGGGAAAGCCATACACTGGACTGCTTCTTGCTTTAGCTTCAGATTTGGGTTTTTATTTTTATTTTTTGCCTAGACATTACGTTCAACCTCACAGATTTGGGTTTTTTAAATATTAGGTATAGTTATTATTGACATTGTTCCCCTCCCATCCCCCACTTCTTAGAAAAATACTGTCTCACCATAGGCAATGTGGGTTTAAAAAACACATGTGCAGATCTGTAGTAAGGAAACACCCAGAGGCAACCACTGTCACCATTTTAGTATGCGTCCTTCTGGTCTTTTCTTTTTGAGATGAAGTCTCCCCCCGTCTCCCAGGCTGAAGTGCAGTGGCACAATCTCAGCTCACTACAACCTCTGCCTCCTGGGTTCAAGCGATTCTCCTGATTCAGTCTCCCTGGTAGCTAGGATTACAGGGGTGCGCCATCATGCCTGGCTAACTTGTATTTTTTAGCAGAGACAGGATTTTGCCATGTTGGCCAGGCTGGCCTTGAACTCCTGACCTCAGGTGATCCACCCACATCGGCCTCCCAAAGTGCTGGGATTACAGGTGTGAGCCACCATGCTCAGCCACCTTGTGGTTTTTTTTTTTTTTTTTTTTTT